GACGAAGCGTAGAGGAGAGAGAAGAAGGAGAAGGAGAGAGGAGATGATAAGGATGGAGGGGAGAAGGGAAGAGGAGGAAGAGGAGGAGAGGAAGCGGAAGGAGTGCGCCTAGGTGTGAGTGTATAGTGTGTCGTGCGGAGGACTATTATTATTAGTAGTCGTCTAACAGCCTACGTTGGTTGGTAGAGCGGGTAGCAGGATGGGCTTAATTAGTTATCATCCAGGCGGTAAGAGGATTTGTGTCTCCGTATCTATAACTGCTTCTAACGTCCGTAGGCTCTCCGGGCACTACCCGCCAGATTGCCAATTCCTGGAGACTTTGGGCCTTTGCTGATTGACGCAGCGCTTGAGCCCACTGCAGGTTGGGGTCTGTCCCAGACTAGACTCCTAGCAAACGTCCGAACACCTACCACTTACCTAACAGTGGTAACAGTGCGTGCTGGGCTGTTCTGTTTTGGGTGGGGGAGGCTACTCTTTAGTGGGCGGTTGGGCGGGTGGCAGGCGTCTGTCCGGATCGTTTCGTTTCGGCTGTCGCTTGCGCCACGGATTGGCCGCCGCTCGCCACACACACGCACAGCAAGGTGCAGTCATTGGAAGTGAGGGGACAGGGCCCGGGTAACTTTACAGCCTTCTGGTATTATTCTGGTACCATTTTATTCTGCTGCAGAGGAGTTCAGATTGATTCCTGATATTTCTGATACTCTGGGAACATCCTTGGCTATGTCTTGTCTGTTTCATCATGCGAAACATATTACTTTGTTCTTTTTAAGAATATATTTTATTTTATGATATGAGATGTACGTGCCTGATACTCCAGTGTTGCTGCATTATACTAATAATAATACACAACTCGACTCAGCCGCTGTTGGTGACGGATGTGGAACCAGGTATGTGTTTGTACCGCGTACCGTGCAGTGCGGAGTTTGGTCCTTCGGAAGTATCTGTGTATTAATAGAGACAACCAAAGCCTAAAGGAAAAGAGCAGAGAAGACAAATCCACGCCAATAATACCATCATAAATACAAAGTACATAGAGGGGCTTTTTCTATTTTCGGGGGCAGGATATGAAGGCAGTTATCACGTTATCACTGCTTATGACATCAATCAATTCTCTAAATTATTACCCCAAGGAGAATGCTAGTTTGAGGATCATACTTCGTGCAATGATACGGGTAACGGAGCACACGAGGGTTATAAGCGCGAGCCTAATCTTGGCAGCACATAACACATACCTAGCCTTAGGCAGTCTGCTAATTACTTCTTTAAAAGAGGGGAAGATGGGAAAAACCAAAAGGAAGGCGGTTCAGCGGATGATCGGATGATCGCATGATCGCTTTTGACTCCGATTATGCGCCAACAACTAGAAGAGACAAGAAAAGAACACAGAGATCTAGTCTCCATCCCTTCGATTCCTTCCCATACATACCCACTACCAGTGTCCACCTCCATACACACAAAGCACACACAAAACCCAGTCCAGTCAAAACTCGTTTAGGTCTTCCCCCGACTGAACGAGCATGGGTGGAAAGGAAATCAAACAATGACTAACTCCATTTTTGTAAAACTCCATAAACGCTCAGTCATGATCGATTATTTTGCCGCATACGAGCTGGCAGTGGAACGATCATCGAAAACCAGCCGCCCTGGTAAAACCCAACCTGCCAACAAGCCAATCAGTAGTTATGCAAAACTGCTCTGGCCGGGCTGCCTACCACTGTTGCCAGTGCCAGCCCAACCAGCAAGCCGGCCAGCCAGGGCATCCCTCGATCAACAACAGATTCGACACACGCACCCCCACGATCGTCTCGGAAAAGTCAATCAAATCAGCATCTCCTGCGAGGGTCCTGGTCCTCCCGGGTCTTCTTCCACCTAGCACCTACCACCCCTGTCAACATCATCTTGTGTTTGTTTCCTCGCCACCCCGGAAACCTCGCCAATCATGGCTTCCCATCATTTGCCCACAAGGAACAAACCCCAATCAACGGTTGACGGGCTGATGCAACTACGACGGATCTAAAACCTGTCGTTGTCTGTAATTGTAAATTGGAAACAGGTTATTATTCTTACGATTGTCATTTTGCTTCTTGGCTTGATTTGGTTTGGTTTTGTTTTCCTCGTGTTTTGTGCGATCCCTCGTCGGAACATTCTTCGTAAAGCCCGTCGTGTTTTTCACGCGGTTACTGCTGAGAGATATGCTGTGAGAAGAGGCCTGAGAGAGTCTGAGGCTTTGGGGATCTGAGGATCTGAGGATCTGGAACCCGGGTTACCCACAGCCCTGTGCCTGTGGTAATTTGCTGTGTGTTGAGAGAAATCTGATCCGAGGTCCTGGTAACGACTATCTCATGCTTATCAACCCGTGGAGATAAATGAATGGACTGCTTTCACCGGGTTTCGTATGGTTGATTGACATAAATAATGATGGTAATACCCACCTGTTCAGTATTCTATTATCGTTGTTAGTGGAAGTAGTTGGTGGTGTCTTTGATGTGGATGTTTTTGAAGAAACTGCTCGTTCAGCCTGATTAACGGGAAATGCTGAATCCGTCTAGCGCGGTTAGACCTCTTGTGCCTTTGAGCCCACACGGTTGCATTTTAACCTCATTAGCTGCGTCACATAGTGGGTCAAATCAGGGTACTTAGTTGCAGTCCAAGGTGGAAAGGCTCGAGGCTTCTTCAGCACATGTTTCTCAATTTCGTCCTCCCGCCCTTCCACAACGATCGGGGTTCGTCACAAGAATAATATTATAAATTTTGTCATATTTTAAAGATATCCCATATTTCCCTGTCCATAGATAATGATATACTATCCACGGAGTAATGTATGGGAGTACGGATGTTTGAGCAACAATAATAGGATTCGTTCATATACCGTATTCCAGCCAATTATTAGATTCTTCATCCCTGTCATGCCAAGTGGATTTTCCTTACCTTATTTTTTATTTCTCTTTTTCTTTTTCTTTTTCTTTTTCTTTCCCTCTTTCGAGCCCAAGGAGCTCTCCAGTCCGGATCAGTCGTCGTCGTACTCTGGAGTTTTAGTTGTCACAACCTCCCAAACCCGCCAAGAGAGACCGTGGCTGCTGCTGTGCAATTGAGCGCATCAAAAGAGTGCTGCTTCTGCTTGGCAAAATGGGTTTAAAAACTTCGCTCTGGGCGCCTGATGATGGATTCAGTAATGACGCTGGCGCCAACAAGGTTAGATAGAGGGAAGCTCCAGCCGCTCACTCACCGGCTGAGGTATTAATAGTCCGTTCGTGACGGAATGCTCGGTGTGGTGTGACAACCCATCGGACCTTAGCCTATAAATCCAACCCTTAAGAAAATGAAGAAAATGGCGTCTGTTGCTACGTAGTAATATGAACTTCTCTAAAGTGGTTCCTCTCGGCTTGAACCTTCCTATACGACTTCATCTCCTTCTCTCATCCATCTCAAAGGTATGAATAAACCTCTCTGTGAATACTCTGTATGCTTGTGTAAATACTATTGTTACTACTATGGCTAGGTTATTGCAGGATTAACAACATTGCTCTTATTTCAGTAAGTTAATCCGCATTGTGATAACTACTTCTCCTGTTGCTGCAACCTTGTTCCATCACTCAATTCAAAATTAATTCATGCACAGCCACATCATTACCAATTAATCACTCCACACTAGCCAATTGCCTTCATCCCGCGAATGCCGCGTTGTCCCTGTCGTGGTGCCAGGCGCCAGTCGCCAGCCATAGTGCCAGAAACGCTCTGTTACTGCTCTGGCTTCACTCAGCGCGAATATCCGCCGACCCCGCCGCTTATTCTTGTTATGACCCTGGCTGCTTTGTGATCTGATTTTTTTTTGTCGTCGGTCACTTTTTCACTTCTTTCTTTGCTTTTTGGACTCCAATACCCTTCTTTCAACCAATAATGTTAAACGGTTCATTTGAGATTTTGAGTTTTGTGACTGCTTACTCTCTCAGAGTGCTTTGATGCTCATGCCGCAGTAGCCTGACAGCCTTACTTAGTCAACTTATTTCAAGATTATCAGGAGCACAATATTTCAACCACGGTTATGGTCTGCCTTGCTCTCAGCCAGCTGACGAAATAATGCAAGAGACTGATGAAAATATGGATATATTGCTAAAATTGAAAAGATGCTCGGACACTTTTCCCTAGTTAACACGACAAATCAACGTTTCAGCCAGGCGCCCAAGCTGACTTTCTTCAGGAGTTGCGGATTTCTCTCACATTTTTATTATTATTATTATTATTATTATTATTATTATTATTATATATTATTTTTAAATTGGGCATACAATTGTGAAATTAATAATTAACTCCAAGAAGTAACTTGTCATGCGCAGTAAAGTGTGGGTGTGGACAATTAGTAGTTGCGTTACTCGTGGCAATTATTGATTGCGACTCCGTACCAGACCCGTAAAAAACGGGGGGGAAAGCCTATTAATAAGTCTCATATCAACAAATCTGCTTTCAAGGGCCTGCGCGGTGTCTGTCATTATTCTGTTCATCCCATGGATTGGATGAGAGGAGATCGCATGCTGCTCGCTGCTCGTTAAAAATTTCTTTTGTCCAATCCACGGTATCCTACTGCTTGCCGCCCTTTGTTTTTCGCTCCTTTTCGCTCCCTTTGGCCTCCCACCAACCGACTCTCCAAGGTTGCTGCTAGTTGGGCTGGGTGATTATTATTTGGATTGTCATACATCCCTGGTTTACCCGTTGGCCTATCATATGTGGCAACGGCGCATCTTCCCCTTCTCAAGAGTCAGGAGAGACCAAGGTTACCCGACCAAGCTGCGACTAGCGTTTGGCGAACGCTCGTGTCGAGTGCTAAAAGCGGTCAGCAGTGAAATCTGGTGCGTATGGGCGGTTGAGGGAGCGCTGGGCGAGCGCCCTGAGTGGGCGGCTGCGGGTTCATTTGCCCGCATATGCCGCCCATCGTTATTAAAGTTCGTTTTCGCCAGCGCCATTGCATTGCACCTCTTATAAATTGGGTGTTACCGCCGCTTGAATTATGCGGATGGCAATTTAGGCAATTTATCGCAACAGAACAACGTTATGTCGAATAATAACGCTCCAATGTTTATTGCTAACTAAATATTTTTCGAGCGGTTCCCAAGCGCTGCTCGATTATATTTTCCCCCCATATTATCAAAGGCGCCAAAGCCCCTCGCTTTTCTTGACCGGATTTTATTTTTCTGTGGAGAATTTCACCTTTCATCTTTCACCTCTATCTAGCCCCACTTCGTCCCTGTAAAGTACTCCCCAGAAGCAGATGGTTTGGAGCAATCGAGGCATGGGTGGGGGGGAAGAGGGGAAGGGGTGGTAACTCCAGAAGAGTCATCACATTGTTCTATTCTTGAACTTGGGAATACTGCCCTGACACGAGGTTCCAGGGTTCCCATTCATCTCCTTCTGGCTGACAAATAATTTGTCATTAGATTAGTTACTATCCCAAGGTGGTTCTTCCGTAGACGTACGTACAGTATAGTAGGTCACAGCAATGTTTTATTCGAAACGCCAACAAAAAGGTATGTCTTCGTTGTGGTTAATTTCATCCTTTGATTATGCACCTACCTATTCCTATGTTATTATTCTCCAACAAAGATTGAGATGATTCTCTTGATAGTTGGATTTGGTGATTCGTTGGTTGGTCCTCCTGTGTAAGTCAAGCCTTTGTCAGATCTTCTGAGCCAGGTAGTTAAATACCAAAAGGCGTCATTATCAAATAGTTACCCCAGCCATGGATCCTTTCCACTCGATTTGGGGCCAAAGCGAATCTCCCGTGAACAGCTGCCAACTCTGTAACTTTGTTTTCCTTTTTAACTTTTTTGAGGGTTCCCCATGCAGGGGTCCCGAAGGAGGATCGTCCTTGTGTCAGAACGTTTTCACAATCCTGGTGATTCCCCGAGAATTCTCGGCGCTTATTGTTTCAATTAACTATCAGTATGATAGCATCGAACATTATTATTATTCTCCATGTATGAGTTGGATGATACCTCGGTATGGGATATCATGTATGTGTGGTTGAGAGTAACGGATCGGATGTATCTCAATCTCCCCCGTGAAGAACCAAGGATGTTTCCAACTTGACACAAGCACTATGCCGGTTCTAAAAGAAAGTAGTGGGGGTGATTTGAGTTTCGAGATCCGTTCCCTATGTGAGCATACTCTAACCAATGGCAGATGGAAGCGAATACTGAGGAGATGAGAACGAAACGACTCCACACACTCACACACAACATCCCCACACGCATTTGGCATACACTTCATTGATACTTTCTTCAAAGGATCAGTGAAAAGTCCACTTTTCCCCCTGGCGCTTCGGTGCCTACAACTGCGACGTTCTATTCATGGGTTTAATTCATGCCCGTCAACTTCGCACGTTGTTTCTGAGGTAATATATGTAGCCGTTGCGGATAATCAAGCCCCGAACGGAGAGAGCTGGGACCTTACCACCTGCCCATGCTTGGGAGGGATGAACCCCTGGCGCAAAAAGGGGTCAGTAAAACCGCTTTCAAATACACTGAAATGATGGCGCGTTGAGAGTCTGTCAACTTTTATTCCCTCCAGGGCTGGGTGACCGAGTGGCTTAACCGTTGGGAGAGCTGCCTAGCAAGTCGGAGGGGTGCAGCAGGCGAAGCCTCCTGAAGAGAAGGGAATTTAGATTCTCTCTGCAAAGCGACGACCAAAGCTTGTTCAAGCTCCATCATCGTGTTACTTGAATATACCGTCGCCCATCCCTTCCCTCAGCCCCAATATCTTTTCCAAACCCCTTCTACGCTCTTCTCTTGGAAGCATGGGCTTTTTGTTTTAATCTAGATGGCTCTGTCCCATTCTGAGTCCGGTCAACATGTACAACTGAATTGATGGCACAGAATCCCTGAGATATTATGTCCAAGAGGGATTATAACCCCGCAATGATCGACGACGTCCTTCATGATGAGTATGACTTTATGAAAGAGTTAGAATTGCTATCTAGCTTACCCAAGACACTCACATGAAGTGCTATATCGTTATCAAGTTAACACCGTAGTGTCAGAGTCAGACACATTTTGGCGTGGCACAAGGTCCTTTGAGCTCTTTCTTTGCTACCATTTCCATCTAGGGCAATAATACATGAACATTACTGAGTGGGCGCATACCCGTTGCCATACTCGCTGCGGTAAGTATGTATATATTTTTTATGGAGACGTATCACTAGGATGATGATAATGGACATTTTTCCGTGTGTTTCCCGCCGATGATCAAGACAATCAATTTCTTCTCGTGTGCATTGTTCGATAGCCATCTCCAGTGCTTGATATTCCGTCAGAATTTTTTGGATGTTTTAATTAGCGAAATGGGAACACACCAAGCCACGGGCAATCCTTCCACGGCTATAGGAAATCATCTTCACTCTACATCTCATTAAAGGCCGTCAATAAGGGGAGGAGCAGAACGAACTAACTAGCAGTTGTAGCAGAAAATTAATGTCTACCTTTCGCCCTCAAGGCACCTCCAGATATACGTGAGCAAGATAGCCGGTAATACTCACGTTTTTCCGGGTCATTGACACGCCGCTTAAGCAGCCACAGCACCTCGTCCCATACCTATCTCAAGAAGTCTGAACTAGTTTCCTATCGATTCTTTTCATCTTCAAGCATAAACATAGCAGCACTTCATAATGGAAAATACTATATGCTAGATAGGAAAAAAGTGAAATATCTAAGTTCTCGGCATTTACAGTTCAATTCCAGAATCGAATGTGTCGAACAGTATGAATACGCATATAACCATGGGGAGAGAAATTATGCAAATATATATTTATATTTATATATAAATATCATATTTCTGGGCATAGTAAAGAAACAACAGAAAGCCATAATCTATCATAAAACGTATGAATGATGCTCGAAATACCATACAAAATATAAAAACGCCCTTAAACTCCAGTAGAAGACAGTAAAAGGATACTTGGAAATTCGTGAAAAAGACAAAGGAAATATTATCCGCCTGAACACGCACAACCTGTTCCTTAATGTTGCGCACCCGTGTACACCCACGCACCCAACCCAAAGCCCGCAGAAATCAAGTGGAAAGCCAGTCCAACAACTCTGGCACAAAATAACTCACCACAATCCTCGCCCCAGCTCTCAGAATACCCTCCATACTCTCCATCACCATCAACTTCAAATCAAAGACTCCGGCCTTCGCCCCAGCATGGATCATGGCATACTCCCCGCTCACCTGATACGCCGCCACAGGCATATCTTTACCGAGCTCCCTAGCATCACTAATGATATCCAGGTAGGTGCCGGCAGGCTTGACCATAATGATATCCGCACCCTCAGCAATATCACGCTGGATGGCGCGGCGGGCCAGCCCGCGACCACCCGGTGGCAATTGGTAGCACTTCCGGTCCCCGAAGGAAGGACAGGAACCCGCCGCATCGCGGAAGGGCCCATATAAGCAGCCGCTAAATTTGGCGCTATAGGACATCAGGAGGACGCGATGGGCGATCCCTGCATCGATGAGTTTGAGTTTTATGGCACGCACGCGGCCGTCGTTCATGTCTGAGGGGGCGACGCAGTGGGCTCCTGCGTCGGCATAGGCGAGGGCGACGTCGGAGATGCGGTCGACGGAGAGAGCGTTGTTGAGAGAGCCGTCTTCGCGGAGGATACCACAGTGGCCGTGCGAGGTGTATTCGCAGAGGCAGACGTCGGCGATTATGTAGAGTTCCGGGAATTGTGAGCGGATTACGCGAATGGCTTGGATGACGGGGCCGTTGGGGTCGTCTGCGGCTGTTCCTAGGGCATCCTTTGCGCTGGGAGCGAGAGGGACGCCAAAGAGAATGACAGATCGGAGTCCTTTTTGGACTAGAGGGGTAAGAAGTGGGACGATACGGTTAATGCCGTGGCGGCGCTGGTTGGGGAGGGAGGGGATCGGGGTTTCTTCGTCTGGATTGTCGGTGATGAAGAGGGGATAGATGAGCATGGACTGTTGGCGGGATTGAGCGATGTTAGAAAAAAAATTTTTGGATTGTTTCACTCGAGTAGAGAAATGCATTCTTTACCTTAGTTAGCTGCCGTTCAGCCTGCCATGCTCTGTTCAAAGGATGGCTGTAACCTGCATGGAGCTGGCTGGAGATGTCTCCCGATATGCTCACGCTAGTTGCCGCAGTGCTAACGTATGATCGAGGGGGCGTTTGTTGAGATCTCAGGCCATTGGAGGTTAAAGAGCTGCGGTCGTCGGAAAGGCTACCTCTAAAGGCAAGATCAGAAACTAGTGAGGAGAACGACATGTTGACTGCGTGTTCAAAGGGAATGAAAACGTCCGTGGCGATGAAGTGGTTCTGTTGGCTCTCTGACTGAAGTGGACTAAACCGATGCCCGATCCGTGGAAGAATGCTGGTTGACTAGGATTGAGAGATTCCAAGATCCCGAGATTCAAAGCAGACCATAGAGCGGTGTCAAATCTGCAAAGGGTATGGGTATCCAGAGAGTCTATGTCGGTGTCGGCGCAGGAGCTGAAGCTTGAAAGTTCTGTGGTTGGACGCCGTTGGTGGAGGCAGAGATTATTTTGCGGCGCAACAGAACAGTTTGCCCTTGCTGGTGGCCAATCACAGACACTGCTTATTAACAGCCCCCCCGTTCTTTCTCTGGCCGAGCCGACGAACCGCGGAAAAACCTTCCAAAGCTTGAAGGGTCACACTGTGGACTGTTCTGCTGAAGTAAGTTACCAAAGGTGACTTATTTAAATAAGTAGTTCAGTGCATAAATCTAATATAACACTTTGGCAAAATGGCAGCACGAGGCGTTCAGCGGTGGCGGCAGCCCTAGTTATTTATGTAGTCAATTCTTGCTAAACTTCATCTAAAGGACAAATTTAGCCGAGAACTTGAAATCAACCAGATAATGTTGCCTCCCATCCTTAAGCTGTCCCTTCACATACATACATACATACATACATACATCTCACCACAAGGAAATGTAGTTAAACCAGCATAACTTTGAAGGATGCAAGAAAGAACAAGTCCCCAAACGTAACCCATCTCACAGCTGCACATCGTTATTCAACAGCCTAACTTCCTCCCCAGGCTTGAACGCCGGAAGCCCAATATACGGACATCCATCACATCGAAAGGCGTCGCCCAGCGCGCAATTCCCACAACTGCCCACTTTACCCTGGACCGTAAAGTCAACCTCGGCCAAGTCATTGGTTCCCAGTTTCAGCGTCTCAAGCGCTTTATCCGCGTTGGCGCGTTTGGCTCTATCTTCCGCCTCCAGTTTCTGTGACAGGCCGCACGTGCAGTCCTTGCAAGCTCTTCGACGTTTGCCTGCCTTTGGTCGGCATTCTGGGGCTATATGCAAATTAAGCGGTTCGTTGGCTGATGTCTGGCAGTGAAAAAAAGAAGTCCTAAAAAATGAAACTCACGTTGAACAATGGGCCTGCCCATGTCAAACTCCCCTAGTAGCTCCTCCTCATCTATCAGCTCCTCATCTAACTCTTGCGTTTCTTCCACCATCGGGACGCCAAAGTCGTCGCTGAAATCTATAAATCTGACCCCCGAGGGGGTTGAGCTGTTTATTGTAGTTGTCGTCGTCGTAGTGGGAGTAGTAGTAGTAGCGCCCGCAGTCACCCTCACACCATTTGAAGCTGGTAACTCTACTGTCCCATTCCCAAAAGCAGAATCCCCCAGATTCTTCTTTCTCCCCAACTTCAGCGGAACAGCCTGCTGCGCTCCGAAATCCGGCTTCGCCAACTCGCCCCTATCATCAAATACCAAGCCCGCCAATATCGCCTCGTTCCTGAATGCTTGCTCACTGCTGCTCTTCTTCTCACCACCACCACCACCACCACCACCATCACTTGATCCTAAGCCTGCGGCTGAATCTGACCCTGAACCCCATATTTGATTATCTCGATTCCTCAACTTCCCTCCGGGCTTCAGGCTGTTAACGACCCCCTGTAAGACCCCACGACTGACCAATCTATAGGTTTCTGCGAGCGTGTTATCTGCTCCTGTCAGCAGCAGCACAACGTCATAGGTTGATTGGGGAAGGGATACGAGGCCTAGCGCGAGTCGGTCGAGCATTTGCAAATCTGTGCTTTCGCGTGCATGCAATCCTAGGATGGCGTTTAGCTTTTCTGGATGTGAGGAGAGGGATGGCGGAGAGAGTAGAAGGAATCGCCCAGAGCCCTGGGCTGGAGTCTGGGAAGGGAGCATGTTGGGAGATCTGGTAGTTTCGAAAAACTCCAGGGGGTTATGTGTAGAGGGGCAGAAAGGGGGATTAATCAATATTTAGAGCATTGGAAGTTCAAAAGGGAGTAGAGACAATAGGAATAATCGTGTTGTTCTTGTGTGATATTGTTGGTGGAACGGGTTTATTGAATTTTTAGTGAGGAAAACTAGAGCTGGGGGAAATTTTATATTGCCCCTCGTTGATAACCTTTCCAATCGCGTTCCGACGAATCAATAGTTATTAGTAATAAACCACCTTATTTTTAAGGTTCTCCAAGATGCTCATGCTTTCTCCGCGCAATTGTCGGTTTCGTCGGGAGCGACAAGTCATCTTGCTAATTTATTATTTTATAACAATAACCTTGAGGATAAATACCTGAAAGTTATAGCAATTTTGGCAAATAGCTGAGATGTCTTCTCACCAGTAAAATTGTCTTGAAATGAGATCTAATTATCATACAGGTAACTAACTATCCCGGGGCTGGATTTCATAAAGGTACGCTGGCAGAGCCTACGAATGAGCAACCTTCTAGAATAAACGTATTTGGATATACACACACATCTCCTGCACTGCTCTTTCGGCGGAAGGTGGCCATTCCGCCTCACTCATTTTGAAAAAACGCCGCTTTTCACCACCGGAATCGGCGCACTGATCTGACTCCGTATAGCACGAGAACTTCCAATCTGGGCCACTGCTAGAGAGCTCTGATTTGAAGCCTTCCGAGAGGAGGAACAGATCTCTCCAATTACTTATCTGCTTATGTTTAGTGGTGAGGGATGAAGCCCTGATTATATGGTTTCTGGGCATGTTTCGAGCCGAAGTCTCCCTTGTTAATATCCTTGATGAGCATATTGGGTCACAATTCTCTTTTCTAACTGTTTGTGGTGTGACCAACAAGAATTTACTGTCTGGCACCTTGGTAGGGGTACTTGTGGCAACTTGTGTGGTTAGGGAGATTAGAAGGCAGACGCCTTGAAAGGGGTGATGCCAGAATGCTTCTTTGCAGATCTGCCCCTGATGAACCATAGAGAGAGGTTTGAGCATTTCACAGCAAACAGGGAGAAGAAACTAGAAAAGTGAATTTGAAGATGAAGTGAGTGCCACCACCATCATTGGATTAAATGTTGGAAATATGTACTGTCTATCTTGCATACATTAGTGAGAGACCCTGCCATACAAACAGAGAAGTGATTGAACTGTTGCTCATGTCAAAATGAGGTCAACTGCTTCTAGTAGCTTTTTTGGACATATCCCCTACACTGCATGTCGTCATTGTAATCTCAACTGAGGAGAACATCATTTGCTCAACCTCAACAACTCCCTTGCAAATAATGAGGCCTCTATTTTCAATTGCTCCAGTCCATATATAGTTTGGTGATTGACCTCTATCATCAACCCTACGATGAATTGAGCTTTTCCCCCAGGATATCAAATTTAGATCTATGGCAAAAAGAGGGGGGAAAGATTGGGGGGGGGGGGGGGGGATAAAAAATCTTATGCATGTGTATTTCGCTTTTAGCCGGCTTTCATTTTTTCACTTTGACGTTTCAGCTCAGACCTTCGTTGAGAGCAGCAGCATATGATGATCCGAGCAATAAACACAATGGGGGGGGACGGGCTAGTCCGTTTTCAAAGGGGACGGCTACCCCGGAAATTTGCCATCTGCTAGCTGAATTCGGCCAAGTGACTGTGGCACTACGGAGGAACATAGGAACGAGGCGGCGTAGGCAACAACAAACAAGTTCAAGCTGAGCTGTGGGAGCTGTGGGACTGCACCGCACGGGTGGATGACGTGCTGGCAAACCCAGGAAAAGTGGGGAGGAGTGTGGGTTGTCACTGATCAGGTGCTCTCTCCTCCCGCCCTAACCCTTCACCTCCACCCCCCCCTCCCCCAAACGCCTAGAGGAGCAGTTGATAGCGTGCATAGGTTACAGCGTTCTCATCGTGCCTGCAGACATTATGGGAAAACAAAGGAATATCATGAGGATGCGTACAGGTTTAAGGGGAAAGAGACGTCCACAGCCGCTCTAAGACATGACATAATAAGGTTGGTTGATAACGTATAGCGAGCTCGCTATGTAGTACCCTAAAGAGCTTAAGATAGGTACCGGAGTCCGGTCCAGGGGAGTTCCTGGTCCTGTTGTGTGCCAAGGCGCATTCTGTTATCAACTCTAGTAGTAGTTACAGTCTTGCTCCTGTAAATCCGTAACTGTGTGATGCGCCGCTACGTAATAACAGGGGGGACAAACAATCAGTCAACCAGTCAGTACTTGAAGGGAAGTGGGTGTTATTAGCTGTGTTTTGCAATTGGCTTTGGTAGCTTCCTGGGTCATGTGCCCTTGGTTGGCCGGAATTCGCTGCTCCACTGCCATAATATTCGGTTCTCGGGGCGCGACATCCCAAGGGAAACGCTACATTGGGCCAATCTGCAGGTACCTCCCAAGCCCGCACTCCGCCTGCTTAAGACCACGTATCTTGTTCTCAGATAAGTACCAGGCCTTGTCCCCTTCGAATCGAAATTCTTACTCATCCACACTTCTTTCAGTTAACTAGCTAGCTAACTCTATAACGACTAAACTTAACCCTCACCAACAACCGTAAACAACCCCAAGCTCACACTCTGCAATCCTCAGCTATCTTCTCTTCTCCGTCCATCCCTTCCCCCCCCTCTCCTCATCTACGCCGATTTTCCAACCTCCTCTCTATCTCGTTTCCATCTCTCTATTCACCAAGACATACATCTGTTCTTCCTTTGGCTCTTGGGACTCTCTCCTTGGCGAATCCGACTTCAAAGCTAAAGGAAAGAAGCATTCCAAAGTCACTGGTTCTTTGAGCGCCCGCTGACCTGAATTCTGCTCTCTCTCTCTCTGTGCCATCTCTCTGCCACTCCTGGATTTTTTTTAATCCTGGCCGTCTCATCGACTGCCTCGATCCGATTTACATACCCTCATATTCCATACCTCAGACCCTATTTGTTTCAAAAAGCCTGCCACTGGCATATATCTGATTCCAATTTCACCTGCATAAGTAAGTTTGCAAAGAGAGTCATCCATATATTGGCTGCTGTTATACTCTCCCGTCCCCGCCTCTCCACCCTTCCCTTACTGTCCACAACAAACCTATTCGTTTCATATCCACGTCCATATCCGACTCTGGCTAATCCGATGTATATATCAGTGACTCGATCCCACAAGCTCAATGACCGTGACCATGCTGGCCTAGCCGATGGCACCGCTGGTCCCGAAGAGCATATCCCCCGCTACTTCGCAAAGAGTGGCCATGTCGATGCCGATCCCAAGAAGACCAAGAAAGATGGTGGTGGAAAGGGCAATTGGTGAGTTTTAGGAATATTACCGCGCAGCTTCTTTCTTCCCCTTCCACGCTCTATGTCCTTCAAAATCCCTGCTGCTTTCCCACCATAGATATCTCACCTTTAACCCCTCTTCTTTTCCTGAGCCATTATCTCAGCTGACCTTTGAATTGTTGTGCAGGGGCCGCTCTGGTGACGAAATGCAGGATTATGACTATAATTTTACTAACGCCAGACGCCGTTCCAATAGCAGCACGCAGGGCCTGGCCGATTTCAAAACCAAGTTCGAAACTATCGAGCCTGATCCAGTTTTTGAGGAGGAAGTGCATGGCCCCGTTGGTGATATGGACGGTGTGGATGGGGACAAGAAGAGCACTGAAAGCAGCACCAGTGGTGTTAGCGAGGCGGAATCAGAAGTTCAGAAGGCCTAGATTGAATCTTTCCTTCATGTTACTTCGTATTCTACAACACGCTGCCCCATCCTAACGCTTCCTCCTCCTTTTCCCATTTTCGAGGGATTCCGGATTGTTTTTTTCTATGTGGAGTTGTCGGCCTGGTTTTTCTTACTGTTATTATTTTATGGATTCTTGTGGATTGTTTTACTACTTGTCGAGGTTGATGGTTTAGTGCAATGAGCTATACCATGATATTATCTCACGCCCATGTGTGCTATTTGTCAGGAGATTTGAAATTGATGGATGATGCTGGTTCAGCAGAAAGATATCAGAAAACAAGATATAATATCAACAATGTATACTTATGTCTGCCATTCATGAATTAAAGCTGTATTTTCTCCTGATGATCATTATACTCTTCTTTAGTTCTAGATTATGAATATTTTTAAAATTCATGAGCTGAGTATTGACTATAAGTGATATATTGTGTAATTAAAATACATTATAGTACATGAGCTGCAGTGTGTTAAATTATTATTAAATTAGTTTGAATTAAAAACATTGCTGTAAATAATAATAATTATAAATTTTAATTTTTTCTTTATAATATAGAGTTTTATAAATAATTAAAATTTTCACTCAATAACTTTATAACTTAATTTTTATTATATTATTTATTACTTGTAATTATATTATTTAAAACTTTTATTTAAAAATTATATATAATAATAATAATAATAATAATAATAATAATAATAATAATAATAATAATAATAATAATAATATAGATAAGAATGTAATAAAATCTGTTTATTATTATATACAGATGAATACTTTATATAATTTACAGAAATTATAAATTTGAAATGATTAAACATTTCATTCAGCATATGATATTACAATCATTATAGAATTGAACAGGTTGATATTGATTACATGAATACCTTCAGATGATGCCAAGGCATCCTTGACTTAGGTAATCAAAATAACTTCAAAAGTTAATTAATATAATTCACTCTTGAGTGAATCACATCTCTGAGCAAATCATCAAATTCAAAAAAGCTTTAACTTTCTAACCCACTCACTTCAACGCGTGAGAATGCCATCATTTCACAATAAAAATGTTAGAAACTCTACAAAAATAGAGAAAAGAATTGAACTCATGATAAAAACTTTAAAAAATAATGAAATTACCTCAATTCATGAAACTGCATATCTTTATGAGGTCTCATATACTATTTTATACCACTGCTCAACCTCTACCTCTTAGGTTAGTAAGAACTAAATTTACAAGCTGATTAAACACTGTACAGAGCTTCATTGCTGCTATTCCAAACACTATAATCATGAGTGAACTAAATGTGAAAATATAAAAGTTATTCAAACTTGGTTTAAGATTTTAAAAATTTTATTTGCTGAGCATGAAATGCTATCTAAAGATATATATAATTTTAATGAGATTGAGTTTGCAATAAAGCTTTATATCACTATTAAAATTATTACTAGTAATGAGCACTATGACTAAGCAAAGCTTCTACAGTCTAGAAATTAAAAATAAATAATGTGATTGAGGCAATCAATACATCAGACTAGACTTTATTTTCATATATGATTTTTAATAGTCAGAAGCTATAAAAAAATTGATTTAATGAGTTTTTAAATGATTGAAGACTTGATGTTAGCTCTAATGACTGAATTACAGATGAGATAAAAGTTAAATAATTTATTATATTATTTATTCCTATTATAAATTTATATAGAATTGATATTTATTTATTTTTTTATTTTGAATGAGTATGGCAGTCATTTTATCTTAGAATTTGACTACATTTGCAAGAAAAATAAAATTATTTCTCTCTGCATATCAGTATATTTTTCATATCTCTTACAATTATTAGATATGAGTATTTTTGCAATTTTGAAATGCAAACACAGTAGTTTTATTGAATAGTAAATATAACTTGAATTCAATATCATTAAAAAGATAGACTTTTTACATATCTACTCTGTAGTATATACAGAAGCTTTTAAAGTTCAAAATATTCAAAATAGCTTTAAAATTATTGATATAATATTATTTGAATCAGATTGAATTATTCAATAATTAAATATTCAACTTTAAACTTCTATTTTTTTAGTCAGCAGATTAAGCAATTCAATCTCACTCTCAATGCTTTAAACATTTAGTAATCTGTAGGAATTGTAATAGCAGATTGAAAAGATTAAAAACTTTATAAATAAAGAGTAGTTTTAAGGTTTAATAAAAGATATTAATTAAATTATCAATGTTTATAAATATAAAATGATCAATATCATTATTATAAAAAGATAATATTAGAATATATTCAATATAAATGAAAAATAGAAGTTAGAAATACAAGAGATTTATCTAAAAAATTCAATAAAAAGAAGATTTAATCAGACAGAAAGCTACTTAACTTGCTATTTTAGCTACTGTATTCATTAAACAGTTAGTCATTCAATCTTCTATATTTTCATTTGCAGAATTTTGATCATATTCAGAAGTTTTACAATAATGCAGTAATCATAATTTGTCTGATTATAAAAGAATAAAATACTTCAATTCTAGTATAAATTATTTTAGTTTAATAAGATATTGTTGATATAAATATTTCAGATTAAATTTTAGCTAATTAAAATATGATAATTTTAATAATTTACTTGAAGATGTAATTCACTCAGAGATGAATTATATTAATTAGTTAATTAATATATTTTTCAAATGAGTATAATACTTAAATAAGTACTATAATAATTCAAAATATCTTTTAATTTAATTATTTTTTCACTTTAATATGCAATTATACTATTAATTCACAATAAAAATACTTCAAATTCTTTAAAAAGACAGAAAAGATTTGAACTCATAATAAAAACTTTTAAAAATTAAGAAATTACTTCAATTTATAAAGCTATTTACTTATTTAATGTAAAGGGTTAAGCTCTAAGAACTAGAGGCTAGTCCTACTATATAACAAGGATGAATTGCTTGAGAAAGGGAAAAAAAGAATGAGATGAGAACTCAAGCTTAAGCAAGCTCATGTAGCACAATCATGTGTGCACATGTGAATGATGACTAGGCTGAGTCAGTCAGTCAGAGCAAATCTAGAGGTTCAATCTCTTATAATACCCTCCTTCTCCCTCTTTGTTGCAGGCCTTTACAACTATTTAAAGCCCTCTTTACACCTAATTTTGTCTGCTGAGAGGCCTCCCAAGTGTTCAATGCCTTCACTTCTTGTAGGAGACTTGTGTCATTTCATGTAGACTCAGCTCAACCTACTCATTTAACAAGGTATTGCTTTTTCCTCCAGTAGATTTGTTCACCTCAAATTTTCTTAATCTCAAACTCAGGTCCTTCTAAGATCTTTATAGTGAGTGACTGTCAGTCAGTTTGCCTATGACTAGATAGGAGATCTGTCACTGCAGCATGTAGAAGCTTTATATTAAAGACATTGTGAATGCTAGGTGAGACATTCAGTCAGTAAGCATAAGATTTTATCTTTTATAGCACAGTATATTGATTATATTTTGCATTCAGCTTCTTGCACAGGCAATTAGTTCTCATGTTCTCTAAGCTCAACCAGACCTTATCTCCAGGTTGAAAGCTTGAAGCTGAGTCTCTTTGTCTATTTGTATATTTCTCCTGAGATTGCTAAGCATCTGTCATTTTTACTTGAGCTCACTTCAACACTTCACAGGTCTTTCTCATATAATCATCTACAAACTCAATAAAATTATGTGATATTTCAATGAGAAGTGCATCAGCTATATCAATGAAGAAGATATGAAAAAGATATATTAAAAGAATGAGCTCATGCCTGTTGAGGCAGCATCTCTATTATTGATAGTCAGCTCTACTAGAGGAAGTCATTCACACCAGTCATTTTGTTGAAAGCTAATGTACTTGTATAGATAGATTTTCAGAGTCTGATTCATTTGCTCTGTAGCTTCATCAGTCTCTGAGTGATAGACTGTGAAGAGTTATCTTTTAATATCTAATTTCTCATACACTCAAGTTCAAAATATGCTTGTGAAAGCTGACTCTCAATCTGATACTACTGTCTTAAAGATGCTATGTTGAGAGATGATGTTGTGAAGGAACACTCTAGCCACTGTCTTCACATCAGTTTTCTTAACTGCTTTTAATATAATCTTCTTGGTCAGTCTGTCTGTTATAATTATGATGTTTGTATATTTTTTAGAGTTTAATAAGTTCACAATAAAGTTCATAAAAAGCTTCTGCCACATGCATTCAGAAATGAGGAGAGGCTTAAGCAGTTTCTAACATTAATCTCTTCATGCAGTGTTTGATCTGTAAAGATGACAGTTTCTGATCATTCTTCTCACATCAGCAGCATAGTCTGACCAGTAGAACTCACATATTAGAACTTCTGCTATTTGCTCTCACCTGGAATGACCAGTAAGAGGTGAGTCATAAGCCTCATGCACTAACCTGGTTTGAAGAGGTTCAAAGTCTGACACTCACTTATAATCTCAAAAGAGAAGCTCTCTATTCTCATTTAAAGAGCACTCAGAGACAGAGGTCTTAATGTCAAGTTCAGAAGAAAATCTGAATCTTTTCTTATAAAGAGTTTGCTTCAGATGCTGCAGAATCTTGTCATTTTTATGAGTCTTATTTCACTGAGCTTAAAGAGACATCTCAGGTTTCACACTGGCAGCAGTCACTATTGATTTCATTTCAGATACCAATACATTAAACTTAAGTAGTTGAGCTTGTCTCTGCTTGATTCTCTTATCATCAGCACTCTGTGACATGTTCTGCTCTCTTCATGATAAAATGTCTGATTCAGTGTTCAACTTCTCTGGCCAGTAATCAATTCTGAAGTTGAATTGATAGAGAATATTCATTCAACATAGCTGTCTTTCATTTAGTCTGCATATAGTCATAAAGTATTTTAGATTCTTATGATCTGTGAGAATATTGAATTTCTTTACACTTTGTAGCTCAGCATCTCATTTCTTTAAACACTCAATTATTGCTAATAGCTTCTTAT